CTTAAATTGGGATGATGATTGTTCATGATCATTCCAACATTTCATTTCTTGGAAATTATGAAAGAAATTTCTGATGGTTTAACATGAACAAACCATCAAAGCAAGTTGCTATTATTTGACCATCATAAATCAGTCCAAATTCCTACTTTGGAGTGATGGTTACTTATGTTGGTCCATCAAAAAAATATAATGATTCATGATGGAATTATTGATGATTACTATCAAGATTATGTTTGTCCATCAATAGAAAACCATCAAAAAGTTTGACTTGAGTATAAAGAAAGGTTAGAAATTTAAAGTAAAATTTTCTTAATTTATTATTTAAGTCTAGTGAATTTTGTTTCATCACCAAAATGTGAAGAAGTACGCTATAAAAATATCATAGAATATGCAAAAATTGTAAACATTTAAACTTATCATTTTTTTTGTAATAAATATTAAAAAAATATAAAATAGTGTAAAAAAATTAAACAAATTTGATAGATTTTTGTATTTACGAATTTACTTTCTTTAACCCTCTTTCAGCCAAAGTGTGGCGTAACACTGTGACGTATATTTTTCGCAAATTATATTTTTCTGCTTTTGTCAAGGGTTCTGAAGACATCCATAAATTATTAGTAATTCAATTGGAATAAATAATTTCTGTTGAGAAATTTTTAAACTGTTCGCATTTTTTAACTTAAAACGGTTATTAACAGATGAAATTTTTTGAAAATTTTTAACTATTCCTTTTGAGATTTATCATATGTTTTTATGAGTTGCAAGTCAGTAAATAAAAAAACAATAAAACAAATTTCATAAAAAACTAAATGGTTTGTTCTATGATTTGGTGAATGGTGCCTATACGCGGCGTTTTATTTCTTATATAAAATCTAATTTTTCATGTACGAAATTTTTTGTGTGTCCTAATGAATGTAACGTAAACATATTTCAATGAAAATAATTCTACATTTTATAAAATTTCTATGCTTGGCCTAAAATGGGCGAAGTAAAAGCTGAATTTTCTACTATTATTTAATTCTCAGTCACACGAATAGCAGAAAAATATTTGCACCATATGAAAAACATAAATCATGATAAAAAAGAATAAGCGTTAGAAGATATAATCCAGAAAGAAACCCTAAATTGAACAAATAAAAGAGGGTTCGTTGAACTGACACTTCAAAGGATTGGGGGTGTTCTATCAAATAAATCATGATTGACATATCATCCAACAAATCAATTGAGAGATCATTTCTCTTATCATAGCATTCTCTGTCTTGTTTAAATGGAGGAATCACATATTTTCATTAAATCTATTCTCCATTACATTCGATTTAATTTTATCTCATGAATAACTTTTTGAACTTTTTTTCTTAAAGTTATATTTTTTAAGTCATTATTTATTTAATTTTTTTTTTGCGTGCCTTCACAAAGCGATTGTCTATGAATTTACTTTCGAGGGTTTTTGATGACAATTAAAAATTATGAGAAAGATTCAAGTAACTATTGAGATTATAAGTGCATTTTATTTCGCAATCAAAATATAAGGAACTATATTTTTCTAAGTGATTATTATTATTTTTATTATTTTCTGCATGCCTTCACAAATCGATTGTCTATAATTTTACTCTCGTGGATTTTTAAAGACAATTACAAATTATAAGAAAGATTCAAGTAGCCATTGAGATTATAAGCGTATTTTATTTCGAAACCAAAATAATCTCATATTTTAAAATTTCAAATGATGTAAAAACTCAAAATTTATCTTTTTTTCTGTAATAATTATATGTAATAAGTAAAAAATATATTTGCGAAGCAAATGTTGCCACAATGAAACTTTAGGCAAAAGTTTTATATAATAATTATATGTAATAACTAAGAAATTTAACTAAAATTAAGTAATTGAATTGTTTTTCTAAACTATTTTATTCCATTTCTATTCTTTTAAAACTTTCATAAGCCAGTTTTGTGAAAAATATATTATTTTGTTCTCACTATAAATTTTTATAGTGGTTATAAATTATAAATTGTTGCCTGGACAGTTATTTTATCAAAATGTATTTATTTAAAAAAAAATTCTGGAGTACTACTACATCTCAATAATTAAGATTTTTTGTAATTGATGAAGTATCATTTATAATTCCTGATAAGAAATAAAGCCTGTGTTTTTAATACCGTTCATTTTACGCGTAAATTTTAGAGACAGTACCCGAAAACAATTGAAGGGGGTAAATTTAAGAATTATTTTCCGTAAATTTATGATATGTAATTTATGTAAATTATTATCTGTAAATTTATGAATTTTGCTTATGATTTAAACTACTTATTTTGTACAACGATTCAACAATGTGCAAAACAATAATTCAATCATTCTTAAATTTTTAGAAAATCCCACGAGTGTTTAAAAATTTCTTATAATATTTATTGAATGTTGAGTTTGTACCCCTTTGACCGAAAGTGGGTTAAATTTGATAAATTTTTGTATTTATGAATTTGCTTTCTTAAGAGCAAAGTAAAAGCCGAAATTTTCTACCGTTATTTAATTTTCATTCACAGGAATATACATAGCAGAAAAATATCTGCACCTTTTAAAAAATATAAATCATCATAAGAGAGAAGTCCATCACCAAACTGTTTGAACTTTGAAAACTTCTGAAGTTGTTCGTACTTGGAAACATTTTGAAGTATTTCAGACTTAATTATATTTTCAAACTGACTTCTGTTTTGAAAAATTCTAAAGTTTTTTGAGCTTAGAAGTTCAAACAGTTTGAAAATATTACAAAGTCTAGAATACCACAAAATATTTCTAAGTACAAACAACTTCAGAATTTTTCAAAGTTCAAACAACATGAAATTATTTCTAAGTTCAAAAACCTTCAGAAATTTTCCAAGTTCAAGAAACTTCAGAATCTTTCTAAGTACAAACAGTTTGATATGTATTTTAGGCTTAGTAATATTTCAAACAGTTTGGACTTTGAAATATTTTTATGTTGTTTGAAATTTAAAAAATTCGAAGTTTTTTGAACTTGGTAAATTTCTGAAGTTGTTTGTACTTAGAAATATTTTGAGGTATTTTAGATTTAGGAATATTTTTCAACTCTTTTGACATTAAAAAATTCCGAAGTATTTTGTACTCAGAATTATTTTCATGCTGTTTGAACTTAGAAAAATTCTGCAGTTGCTTGTACTTTGAAATATTTACAAGTATTTTAGGCTTAGTAATATTTTCAAGTTGTTTGGACTTTAAAAAATTCTAAAGTTTTTTGAACATAGAAATAATTTTATGTTGTTTCGACTCTGAAAAATTCTGAAGTTTTTGAGCTTAGATATATATTGAATTATAGGCTTAGTAATTAGCTTAGCTCGAACTGTCTGGACTTAGAAAAATTCCGAATTCTTTTGTACTTAAAAATATTTTGGAGTATTTAAACTTAGTAATATTTTCAAACTTTTTTGCTTTCGAAAAATTCTGAAGTTGTTTGAACTTAGAAATAATTTCATGTTGTTTGAACTTTGAAAAATTCTGAAGTTTGTAATTAGAAATATTTTGAGGTATTCTAGATTTTCAAACTGTTTGAACTTCGAGAAATTTTGAAGGTTTTTGTACTTAGAAATATTTTCATGTTGTTTGAACTTTAAAAAAAACTGAAGTTTTTTTAACTTGATAAATTACCACACATTTAGTAAAAATTAAAAAAATTTGAAGTAAATTTAACCAAATTTTATCACATAATATAAAACTCTATTTTATTGTTAATTTGACCAATATCATTTGCAAAGCACTTTGGTAAAAATTAGCGAGCTTTTTGGTCTTCCCATAGAGTAGTGGTTCCTAACTCGATCTAGATCACTCCCTCTTTTTTTCTTTTTAAACCATCGTTGAACAGGCGACCCAATTTTTGTGGTTCAACTCAAAAGTGCTTAAGCCTTGTAATATTTAACCTAATCCAGAAGACAAGGGAACTCTTGGATCAAGTATGGGGAGAATTTGCCCTCATGGAGGATTTTTTGTAAGAACTAACAAGAATTTGCATTACATGGGAAAGAAAACCAAGAAAACCTCCCTTGTTTAGACTGACGTTGAGGGAATTCTAACTCATGATCCGTCAACCATCACTGGGGATATTTTACGTCAGCACTGCGGTCGTTGCAAGCCGATCTTGGAATTCACGTCGTCCTGCTTGAATTCGAACCCGGTGTACCTCATTTGAAGGTGAAGGCTCTATTACTTGAGCCATCACAGCTCTCTAGATGTTGTTTGGTTCCCCCCCCCCTTAAATATTGGCTGCAACCTATTGCCCTTTTCTCCCTCTCCCTTTCTTATTTTTTTTTTAGCCTAAAAAACCACGAGTAGTCGTTATAAGCATACTGAATTGAAAAAAAAAGAAAGAAGGAAAGAAAGAAAAGAAGAAAAAAAAGAAAAATTAATTTTTTTACGCTTTTTTCTTTTCGTTATTTTTTCAAATATATTTGAAGATACAAGATATACAATATATTTGAAGGAAATTAACTAAAATAGGACTATATATATTTTTTAATAAGAATCTTAGAGAAATAATAGTGTTGCTAATTGAAATTTAAAAACTATGTTGTTCATCTTTACTATGACTTTCTTGCGCTTTCAATTGAAACATGAATGTTCGTCAGAGGTCCGCTTTCAAGCAAGTGTTCAACCTATTTCTTTGTTCTGAGAGGATCGGGAAAAAAGATCTCTGTTCAATCCAAAATATGACGAAAAAGTTCAGAAACTTAAATTTTTTTAAAAGTTTATTTAAATTAATATTTTTTGTAATTCGCTGTTCTTTGTTTGAACTCAAAACGATAGGTTTCGTATGCATTTTAAATTTCGATATTCGCTAGCTTTTTATCAATATTTTTATTTATTTTCTTTTTAATACTCATCATCCCCTTGAAGAGTAAAATGCCCCACTTGGGGACAATCTCCCCCAAGTAGGAGATTAGTCCATGGCATAGAGCCAGAGTAGTTTTGACTCTTTGTGTAAAATAAATTGACTTACCTTGAAAATAACTTTTTGTTCTGAGATAACTAACACTGAGACGAAGTATAGATAACTTGTCTAATTTTGAAAGAACACTCTGCTCAAATGGAAGAAGGTTTGCGAGTGTATCCAATTCTGCATTCAATCTTTCTCGATGCCTTTTACTAGGATTTGATTTAGTTTGGCCATCTTTTGGAGGGACACGGACACTAAAAAAGAGATTTCCTTCTTACAAATCAAGAAATAAAATACTCTCAAATCACTAATCAAAATAAAATGGAAATGTTTGATGTTTTTAATCTGTGGCGTAACTACTACTACAGTTATTAAGCATCAGTTCACTACTATATAAGACATGCTAATTCGATTCAATGTTGGGGTTCCTTTTTATAGAAGCAGGTTGGCATCACTCTTATCCCCGCTAATCATAATTTCTTCCGATTTTTCATTGCTTTCATTACACTATGAATAATATTCATCTAAATATAATAAAAAACTCTTAATGTATACTTTTTTTTTATCTAGAATTCATGCAATTCAAATACTTTGATGTAAGAAATGAAGATAATTTGCAGACTTTATCTCTAGAACTACTAAACGGATTTTAATGAAATTTGATATGTACATACATTAACGCAATCTAAAACAAATAGCCATTCAACAATTGTAATACACACGCATGATCGCACTTGTTGCAGTCGGAAGGTATAAAACAGCATTTGCAGAATAAACAAGACAATAGGGTCCCTTCTTAGAGATATACAGTGTGATTTCATACTTGAAATAAGGCAGTTTATCATTTCCTGTGGCAATTTTATACCTCCAACGCACGATCATGCGTGTGTATTACAACTGTTGAATGGTTATTTGTTTTGCATTGTATGTACATATCACTAAAATCGGAACAGAAGTTCTAGAGATAATCAATTCTCTTCATTCCTTACACCAGTGTATAATAATTTCTATAATTATTTTATGGCACATATTTCGCCAGTATTTAATAATGTTTTTTTACAAAATCATTTATTTAATTTCAACTACAAACATAAAAAAAACATGAATAAATATTCTATGTATTTATTTATAAAATCAGTTTTATTGATGGAGGAAAAAGTTTTAAAGAGACAAGGGATCCCATTAAATTACCCGTTCCCATACTCTGTCAAGGGATTCAAAAGGTTTTTCCTCGTAAAATTTTCGATTTTTCGAAAACAATATATGCTAAGACCTGTTTCATTCTAAACAAATTGACACTAAGTATAATATAATGCTTAAAAGGTTTCCGAAATTACAGCAAAAATACTGAAACAGAAAATAATACATACTATTTTTTATATTGGAATGGTATTTCGTTTGAAATTAATAATCTAATATTTCGTCTTCACAAATGTTTTTCTCGAGGCAAATTTTTTCACCTGGTGAGCATGATTACTCGACAGTTGGTAATTCGTTTGAATTAAGCATATTGTTTAAATTCATGCTAGCACTTGAATATTGGTACACGTTTTAGAGTCATAATATTTCTTTAAAATAAAAATCCAAAAATTAAGAGTATATTTTACTATCTATTAAAAGATATTTCAAGTTTATAACGTAATTCTTATGACTTTTGTATGTGCAAGACGTCATAGTATCTTTCATTTTCTTTAATATTAACCTGTAAAAAAATTATAAAAGTTTTTCACATTGTTTCACAGAACTGTTTTCATTAAAGATAAGTTATAGATAATCAGTAAAATGATTGATGCGGTGAAATGACCTTTACGAGATTTCACCGCATTCATAGAATATGCGGTATTTTATAGATGTGAATAAACGATTGACTTCCACCGAGGAATGTTGACAATCACCCAAATATATACTAGGTTTAGTTAAGTCTGTATATGATGTTTTTCAAAGTTCAGTGCTGATATGCATTTAACCGAACTTTCTCTTAATCTGCCCCCCGTAGATATTAAAATATCGAATATTAATAGCAAAAATATCAATTAATAAATTAATATCAAATCGGATATAACAAATATTTCGGACATTCTCTTGATTTTGGTCATACACGGTGACATACATAATGTAAAACAGAAACTAGGGAAGTAAGTGCTGAAGATGTTTATACAAACAAATAATTTCATAGTTGATAGTAAATAAAGTATTAATTATAATAGTACTAAAATTATTTGAGATTCTGGTTAGAGATAAGTAAACTGACAAATAACAGACTACACAGTATTATTTTTTTTAAAAAATGATTTGCCTTCAAAATATTAATAATAAAAGCAGACTTACTCTAAACTGCAAAATATTATCGTGTGTTTTAACACCAAAATGGTGGCTACTACTATATACTTTTTTTTATATTATAACCATCGTTGAACAGCTGACCCAATTTTTGAGTTTACGACTACTAATGTTTAACTCTGTAGCCTTATAATTTTGAACCTAATCCAGAAAACAAAGGAACTTTTGGATCAAGTATTGGGAAAAAATTGCCTTCGTGGAGGACTTTTTGATGGAATTAACCCACATTTGCGTTGCATTGAGAGGAAGACCACGAGAAACTCCCACGGTGAGCCTGGCGGTAAGAGGACACAAACCGCCAGTTTCGGTATTCAGTAACAGATTTATTAAAAAGATTTTTACGAGACAATATAAAATAAGAATCATTATTCTAAGTTGCATATATTCACTAATTGTTAAAATGAATTTTGTTTGTTAATCAATAATACGTAGCACAAAGAGAGTATTGAGACGAATACGAGCTAAGCATTATAGAAGCTGAATTAACACACTATAAAATCATTTGATATAATTTACAGAGACTTAAAAATTAAAATGTCCTTATGACACAACTAAAAACATACATATTTAAACAAGGACATTGGTTGATGTATAGCAGTATTGAAGACAATGACAAACTCGAAACATTCTACATTGTAAAAAACTCTGTAAATCTTTAACCAGTATTTAGTGCAAAGTTTCTTTACATCCAAAGCTTAGTTAAATATAAGACCATTTCATTTTAGTTACATCATAAATTGTGAAGTATGATAGAGAAATACTTCCATAGTGCAATTGACTGCACCAAAGTTTGATAAAAGACATAAAACTTTGACGGTGACTGCAAACTGAACAATATTTGTTTACGACACCATGGTTTCTTTACAACTCGGTCTCGGTGTTTCGGGACGACTCATTTGTGTTGTTTTAAGACTCATTTTTTTAGGTAAATGCTTTATTTCCATTAATTAGAGTTCTTTTTTTCATGCTGAATTTTCAAATTTAGTTGACTGTATAAACTGGTTAGGTCATAAAATAACCTACTTCTGGTAAATAGTTCTGTTACGGTAAATAGCAACCTTGACTTGTTTTTGATCGCTTTAAAAATACATTATAATGGTGAAAATTTTCTCTGCTTTTATATATTAAAAAAAAAGGAACGAATACAAATCGGTATTTCATTTCCTCAAAACACCGACTTTTGGTGCAACCTTTAACTGATATTTGGAGCTAGTGAAGATACAAAAATATGGCAAAATTGAGCTCCATTTGATGTAGGCCGTAAATGAATACCTCTTTTTGGTGCCACGTGGCTCGGATTTTTTAACAGTGTAAAGATGATATAAAAATAGCCTCCACATATGTGTTTTCGGAGAAAAAACGTTTGATGGAAATTGATTGTAAGTGTTTTAGAATTAAATGCAACCTTTAAATTTTATATGAAAATTTAAATTGATGTTAACTTGAAGAAAAAAAAAGTGTTACTCAGCATTAGAGAGAGAGAGAGAGTACACACTACCTTTTAAGAATTTCAGAAATCTCCTTCTCAAAAGATGTATTAATACTTTAAAATGCTATACCCAAAGTTGTTCATGAACATAAAAAATTTCGAAGTAATCAAATTTTTAATTTTTGCTCAGCCAAAAGAACGTTTCAAAAGCGTTCTAAGTCCTTTGTACTCTGAAATCAAATAAATATTTACCAATTGATCTCAAAATTAAACTATATTTAAGATGACATTTTTTATTTGCATAGGTTTGTTACATTTCATATCATACGAGGGCTGTTTTTCAAGTACGGGCCGTTTGAAAATAAAAACCAAACGAAAGAAAATTTTCATGAAGCAAATTCATTATTTGATTCTATATACGCTTCTCCTTTTTTTTCAAAATAATTGACAAGTTTGCTTAAACACTTATCATACCATACAACTAGATTTAGAATACCCTTTTCATAGTAACTGCTCCGATAACTATGAGGTCACGGCCATCTTTCTCATCGTTGTACTGCCAAAATGATGTTGGAAACATCGGAAAAGATGAAAATAACTTAGTCTGGGCTGTATTGAGGGGTGGTCCAAAACTTCCCAGCCAAAAGAGTTCAATAAAGCTCGGGACTGAACAAAATTTCGTGTCAACATGTCAGCCTTCGTAAACTTCACAAATCTGCCGGTGTAGCAGACAGGTTTTTTGGCGACTAGAAACCTCATAGGCTGTGAGCGATTTGCTAAACGTGACCATTTTAAAGACACAGAACCCGTACAGGTTACCTACACAACTGTAACTGAGTTCCCAAGGAATGCCGAGACACGTCACAAGCATTCGTTGTGACGCACGCGTCACCTATTAGCATATATGGCAACGTTACTTTTAAAAAGTAACGAGTAAAAGTACAAGTATTTTTAAAAAAAGTAACGAGTAAAAAGTAAAAAGTTCTCAGTTTAAAAAGTAACGAGTAAAAAGTACAAGTAAAAGTACAAGTACTAAACAAAAAAAGTAACGATTTAAAAGTACATTTCGAGGAAATCGAAAATTCAAAGTAACCTAAAATTTTATAGAATAATTTTCTTATGTTCTTTAATGTTTTTGCAAAATTATTGTTATTTATTTAATTATTTTTAATTTTGAAAGTTATGGATATTAATTTATTTTTAAATTCGGAGGAATATTATAATATAGTGCAATTGCTGTTTATTTTTAAAAATTTAATTTTTTTAATTATAATTTTACAGTGTTGAGCATAATCTTGTATGTCTTTACAAAAACCTCATC